ATCGGAACAAAAGAGAAGCCGGTCAATAAAGCCTTGACTTATAGTGGAATTTTCAATAGTTTCAGAATTGTCTTGCCCTAGGAAGGGTGAGAATGTTCCTAAGGACTTCAAAAGGCCACCTGTCAACTTTCGTCGCAGTCCGACATGTTTAAACAGTGCAAACAAAGAAACAGTTTCGAAAAAATCAGCCCCTAACACCTTGAAACAGACCCTGTAACTGGAATCCTATTTTCAGAGCATCGGATGGCTGTAGGACCACCCCCATTGGATCCGTCACGGTCGAAAACCTTTAGGGGTCAAGTTTTGGCCTAAACATACGTTTCAGGACAAAGTTATGGATAAAAGACTAAGAAAGGCAAGGCTGCACGCTATTCCCGTGCACCCTCACTGCACCAATTTCCATTAAAGGATAATGGTTTTCACAGTCACAAACAACAACTTTGAAGACCTGTGTCTCCCATGTTTCGAGTTGGATCCTGCTCAAATTTTGTGAGCGTGTTCGTCTCGTCAAGACGAGCATTTTGATATGTGGCACATCCCATGATGATGTCCGAGCAGGGAGAAAAACTAGAGAGAAGATGACGATACGTGATCAAGGTTGCAGGAAAATCAGTCGTAGCATGACCCACTGCCATAACATTGCGCTCGCGTACCTGATCGATGCGAAATTAGTTGCACTATGCGTAACGTACAGGGCTATGTCTGGTCCAAACCCCACGCATGATGAACAGATAGATATGGCGTGCGAAGATGTTAAAGTTCTGCAGAATTCTGGCTGTTGGAATCCAAGTTCCGGCAAAAAACCCAAAATTATGAAATCTTCGTTCGGGCACGAAATCGAGTTGTGTTTGTTGCAATACAATCGTGACGGCATGCTCAGTGCAGTTCAGCGAAAAAACCTAGAAAATACGTCAAGAAACGAGCACACTATCGATCCAAAGTTTATAAGATTCATGCAAATTTCAGGTCGCGTGATCGTGACCTAAAAACATGATCAATGACTCGAAATTAGGATCAAATTGATCGTCATGCTAAGCCCAATAAGAAAGTGATCATCTTTTGGTAAAACAGACACCAGAACAACCTCGAATCGGCCTAGAAAAATCGAACACATTCCATGGTTGTAATAAGGACTATTATGGAATTTTGTGTATGGATGGGTAGGGGCAAAATCGTCATTTTGCCCCTATTTTTGGATTTTTCTTTAATTCAAATAAATTATAATTATCATCAATTAGGTTTAACCCATGTTTAAGCAAAAGTCTATATAAACCATGCTATACTTCATTGTAAGGGGGCTTCAATTTTGATCAATAAAATTCAGAGTTAAGTTTTGAGATTGAGGGCCACGTTCAGGAGAGAGAGAGAGAGGAGAGAGAAGAAAAGTCTAGTATCCCTCAGTGAAGGTAACTCTCTCTCTCCTCCTCTCTTCTCTCTCCTCTTATGTCTTTCTCTCTCTTATGTCTTTCTCTCTCTTATTCTTTCTTTCTCTCTCGTCTTCTTCTTTCTTTCTCTATCATCTTATCCTTTTCTTTCTCTCTCCTTTTGGTCTTCTCTTTGTCTCTCTCTTCTTTCTCAAACATGCACGACAATAGGCATTGACGTGCATGTCTCTCTTTCCCTTCTTTCCTCTTTTCTCTCAGCTCTCGTTCCTCTGTCATGCCCCCTCTTTTTTAATCTTTTATCTTTTTCCTAATCTTCTTTTTCTTTTTCTCTATCTACTTTCCCTTTTTCTTTCTCTGCTTTCTTTCCTTATCTCTTTCTCCACTTTCCTCACTTATTTCTCTTTCTCTCTCTTGTTTGTCTCTACTTTCTCTCTCTTATCTCTCTCCCATTCGTCATGGACGGCAGAACCTATCGCTGTCCATGCTTCTTTCTCTTTCCTCTCTCCTCTGTCATGGACGATGGAATCCTATCGCCGTCCATTCTTCTTTATCTTTCCTCTCTCTTCTGTCATGGACGGCAGAACGATATCGTCATCCATGTTTCTTTCTCTTTCCTCTCTCCTCTGTCATGGACGTTGGAACCATATCATCTTTCATGCTTTTTTCTCCTTCCTCTCTTCTCTGTCATGAACCATCGAACCCATCGCCGTCTATGCTTCTCTCTTTTCTCTCTCCTCTGTCATGGGCGACGAAACCCTATCGCTATCCATGTTTCTCTTTTCTCTCTCCTCGGTCATGGACGGCAGAACCACATTACTGTCTATGTTTCTTTTCCCTCTCTTTCTCTTTTGTCATGGACGGCGGAACCCTATCGCAGTCCATGCTTCTTTCTCTTCTCTTGCTCCTTTGTCATGGACAACGGAGCTCCATGGCCGTCCATGTTCCTTTCCTCTCTCTCTCTTCTCTGTCGTGGATGGCGGAACCTTATTGTTGTCCATGTTTCTCTCCTCTATCATGGACGGTGGAACCGCATCGTCGTCCATGTTTTTTTCCCCTCTCTCTCTCTTCTATCATGGACGGCGGAATCCCATCGTCGTCCATGCTTCTTTCTCTTCTCTTGCTCTGCTGTCATGGATGACGAAACCTTATCGCCGTCCATGTTCCTTTTCAGGCTCCCTCTTCTCTGTCATGGATGGCGGTACCTTATCATCGTTCATGCTTCTTTTTTTTTCCTTTCTTCTCTATCATAGACGGCGGAACCCCATCGCTATCCATCTTTCTTTCTCCTTTCTTCTTTCTTTTCTCTTCCCTCTCTTCTTTCTTCTCTCTTCCCTCTCTTGTTTCTTCTCTCTTCTCTCTCTTCTTTCTTCTCTCTTCTTTCTTCTCTATTCTCTCTTCTCTTCTCTTTCTTCTTTCTTCTCTCTTCCCTTCCAATATTCTTCTACTACTCCTTCTGCTCTTCTCATTTCTCCCTCTTTCTTCTCTCTTTTTTTCTTCTTCGTCTCTTGTTTGACCAAGAGATGGGTTAAGTCTAGCACTGTCATGGTAGTCTTGTCATCGAGCAGTATTGCAGCTGTGCCGGTCTGAGCAACTGTGCCCATCTTGCTGCCACGACAAACTGGTCATCGTGCCAGGTTGGTTGGTGATGGTTCTATCGTCGAGTAGTATTGCCATCGTGCCGTTCAGAGTTACCATGCCCGTCTTGCTACTACACAAAATCAGTCATCGTACTAATCTAGCCCCATGTGTCGGGCTAACCCCTTGGTCAAATTCCTCTTTTCTCTATTCTATTCCTTTCTTCTTCACCCAATTCTCTATCCTCTTATTCTTCCCTTTCTTCGTTTGAATGCATAACTCGTGTGCATTCGCCCAAAGATAAGGTGAGGTCTCTTAGCCCACTTCTCTTGTAAATTAATCATGTGTGTGTGATTGTAGAAACAAAAGAGTACAGGTCAAGGGAGGTGATTTTAGACCAGTTGTAAGATTGGGGGGCTTTCCGTCGTGATCTAAGAGGGTGCCCACACGAGTCAGCCCGAGTGAGTCACAGACCCAAGTGGGGTGTGTCCCGCCTCACATCAAATTCCTCTCTCATCGGTTGATGTACCTACTCTTGTTTTTTAACAACGTTCCTAAGAGAGCGATCTTAAGTCTCGGGTTCCCTTTGAAACCTGCGACATGTGCCACCCGGTCATCCCTACTTGGTGGCGAGATTGAGGCATCTAACCAGCTTGGTGACTCCACCGGGGACACATTACCCTTTCGTCAGATAGTTCTTGTTTGGCTAGTTTCTCGTTTGTTTTTTTGCATTGCACTCACATGGCTTCAGGGTTCTCGAACCCGTTTATTCGGATCGGGGATCTCGAACCAAGCAAGATGGATCGAACACCTCCTAAGGGAACCAAGAGAAGATGGGTGCCAAGGGCTGCTCGTCGAAAGAACAAGGTTCCTCAGCTACTGATCGAGCAAGAATTTCTCAAGCCTCTTCCTCCATTGCCAACCTTGCAGGACTTCATCCCCGATGCAATCTTCTTTACTCCCTCATCTCCTTAGGAGAACATCCCTGGGCCATCTTTTACTCATTGCACGTCCAATAAGGGTGACGACACTAAAAGCATCCCCCAATGGTCTAAGCAGGGGGAAGATTCAAAAGATCCCCTGCACACGTCCAATTTTAGTGATGATGTAAAAAGCTACCCAAATCGGTCCAAGGAGGGAGATGACCTTAAAAGTTCCTCAACTACTAACCCCCCTTCTTCTTTGTTTCCTTCATCTCCTTCGTCCTCTGTATCTATTGCAGAGACAATCCGAGAATGTCCAGACTTCGAGGCCCTTGACAGAGAACTTGAAGGACCTAATATAAGCAGGTCGCATAGGAAGCGGCTGAGAAAGACACTAGCCCAGACGATTGGATTCTTGACAGTCGTTGGCGCCCTGGCGGCTCGAGGCAAATAAGAGCCATCCTCTTTTATTGGGAGGTGTAGGAAGTCAAAGACAAAGAAACCCCAGTGGCCTCCTAAGCCTGACTTTGAGCAAAGGTTGAGAGAATCAAGAGAAAAGAGCTTCTATTCTCAAGAAGCCTTTCATATGGTGCAGATCCCGAAAGCATCACCCAGCACGGGGCAAATGAGCTTGAGATCGCAGAAGACGCTGTAACCTCTACCTCAGAAGCCAATGGTCCTGAATTTTCCGTGTCCACCACTCCTTCCTCGCCCAAATACCATAGACAATCCACCCATCCTCAAGTTCCCTGGGACACCTATGGTCCCATACACACAACCACTCCTTCCTCACCCAAATATCGCAGCCAATCCACCAATCCTCAAATTCCTAGGGACATTTCTGATCCCATACACCCAATTACCTCCTAATCCTCAACCTCAAACCTCCACTCCACTAAAACAAATCCCTGTCACCCAATCCACCCAAACCTCCCAAGCCATGCCGACTGCACAACAAAGTCAGCCAGTAGTCCAAAATAAATCTCCTCAACCTAAACCTGCTCCTCAACCTATTATACCACCCAAGCCTGTACGAGACCAGAAGCACAAAAGGCTCATGAGGGAAAAGGTGAAATACGACGTGCTAGGGCACCTGAGGGAGCTTCCAGCTCTTCTCAGCATATATGATGCTCTCAAAGGATTATCGTATGGATCTGGTTCAGGCTCTTTCTAATCTAGAAGTGTACGAGACCGAGGCGGTAGCCATTAAGGTGGACCCATTAATCCTGAGTGGATGTATGACGATAACTTTCTCAGAGGATGATCTTCAACTGGGAGAAAAATTTCACAATCGCCCTCTCTTCATCACTGGTGTGCTACATACATGCCCCATCAGCCAAATTATGCTGGATGGAGGGTCGGCAGTCAACCTTATCCTAAGGAGAATTCTCACTCATTTGGGATTGGGGTCTGAAGATCTTACTCCAACTCATATCACAGTCCAGGGGTTCAACCAGTCAGGAGAGAAGCCGGCTGGCACGATTCGCCTTTGTCTCAAGATCGGTGAATTAAACGATTACGCCCAATTTCATGTAATCGACATCGACACCTCCTACAATGTCCTTCTTGGTTTCCCTTGGCTCTATGACCAGGGAGTGGTTCCGTTCACATTGCATCAATGCTTCAAGTATAGTCAAGATGGGAGACAGTATACAGTCTGTGCCGATAAAAGACCATTTCTTGTAGCTGAAACTCACTATGATGTTGCCAAGTATTGCTTCACAGATTTGGTGTTACCCCAAAAGCCAAATGATGGTGATCGGAAGTCAGTGAGGAAGACAGAACCCTCGCCTCATGAAGAAGTTGAGGACATTGGGCGAACACTCGTGAACATGTTTAAAGAGGAGGAAAGACAAGGAAAAATCAGCCCTCTGACTCCCATTCATCCCAGTATGCCATCCACTATCTCTGAGGAAACTCCTTCTTTGCCTAAAGATGAGGCTTCCTCTTCAACTGCCATTCCTGAGTCACCTTTACACGAAAATGAACATGAAGTCACTCTTCAAACTAAGGAAGTCATGGGGATAGATCTCCCAACCCCAAAAGTCACCTACACGCCAGACCATCAAAAGGTCCTGCATGTCCCCATTGCCCTCTTGGAGGCAGAACTGGCACATCAGCCACCGCGGAAGGTCTTGCGCTTCTCTTATTCTACGGGAAGAGAGTAGTTAGAAAAAGGACAACCCTCTCGCCCTCGAGAGCAGGATCCCCTGGCAGAGTTAAGAAGCAAGGTTCGCAATCTCCAGAACCTACTGGAGGTTATGCGTATCACCTGAAAACATCTAAAGGAGTTTGTGCCTGAGATTAAGAGGTATGACGAGCTTGAAGTGAATGTGCCTCAAATAGAAGCCAATGCCCCTCTTGATTGGATTATTTATAGTGACAAGGTTCATCAAATGATGAGAAAAATGAATTATGAGCCCCTGTCCAACCAAACATTAAGAGGGGAGGTGGCAACCGCTCTCCCATTCGAGGCCATTGAAACCACAACAGATGGCAACAACACAAAGCAATGCATAGGGGTCTCCTTTACAAAAGGGAAGAAATAGTAATGCCCTGAAACACAGCCTACACAAGCGCAAGAGATGAAATGCAAAAAAGTAGAAAGAAAGAATAAAGTCATACATCAGAATGAGGCAGAGGAAAAAAAGAAGTATCTCATTCATTCAAAAATCGTTACAAGTGTCATTATACAAAGAAAAAAAAAGGAGAAAAAGACAAAATGACACTTTAAAAGGCAATCAATGGTCTCATTGATCTTCTCTCCGGAAGCTGCAGAAGATGCCTTGACACGTTGGATGCGCCTCATCAAGTCAATTACCAATTGAGCCTCGTGCTCCAAGAAGGCAGTTTCCTCCTCCAAGGCGTAGTCAAGGGCTGAAATTTCCTTGGTTAGGACCTCATCTTCAACTTCTCAGGATTTCGCCTCCTTCTCGAGCCCATCAAACTCCTCCCTCAGCCTTTGTATCTCTGCCTTCAAGGTCGTCATTCTGTTAAAACGAGCGACCGCCCCTTCATTAAGATCATATCTCCGAGAAGCCACAACATCCCTCTTCTGTGTATTGGCTTATACTGATTCCCGACAATGCAATAGAGAGGCTTCCAGGGAGGCCAATATAGAATCCTCTAATTGTTGTGCAGTTGTTTCCTATTGAAGTGCCCTTTTTCGCCATCCCTCTAGCTCATTCATGGTGCGATCAAAATATGGGAGGACCTCTTGTGTGTCCCCTAGGAGGGAAAGTTTCCTTAGCTTCTGAATTGCATCGCCGAGATCGGCGAAGGGAAATTCCTTTAACTTTCAAACGCGCACATGAAGCATATACATAATCATGCCAGATACCCTGCTGAAACTAGGCCTGGATAGTGCTGTTGGGGCCGCCACTACGGTGGGAGCATCGATTCAACGGCGGGGCTCAAAGGGATGATAGCTCACTGGCTCTTCTAGAGCAATGGCGAAGCCCAAAGCCTCGACCCAGTCTCAGGCTGCTCAGTCTCCTCAGCATTAGCGTTCTCTCCTGAGCCCTCAATCATAGTCTTACAGGACCAATTTCTCCTTGGCTCTCAACCTTTGAAGCCACCACATCAATCTCAGTAGGCTCAGCCCCTTCAGGGTCAACGTCTTCTCTTTGCCCCTCACTTTCTGGAGCAGTCTCAGTAAGGTCAGCAACAATCTCCTCACCTTGACCTTTGCCTGCTGAGGCTACCACTTCAGTCTTAGCATGCTCCAAAAAGACCTCTCCTCCTTGTCTCTCACCCTCTGGCATGACCTCGATGAGTTCTAGACTAGTTTATTCTCCTTGCCCTTCATCTTCATAAACTGCCATCTCAGCCTCGACAAGTTCAGGGCCCACCTCCTCTCTTTGACTTTCATCCCCTGGAGCTACCACTCCAGTCCCAGCTGCGGTCTCTCCTACCTGACCCGCAACTCCCACAACTAGAACTTCTACTGCTTCCTCTTCAGGATTTCCACTCTCTGGGGCTATTGCCTCTGAACCCCCAAGATCTTCCCCCCAAGAATGGCCTGGGTGTGTATCACCCATAACTTCATCACCTGTGGCAGCAGCCTTCTGATGCTCAGGTGCCTCGTCAACTGTAGGTTCCTCCTCCTGAGGGATGTTGGGGCCTGCACTACTCATGACTGCGACCCCTGTCTCAGTCGGGGTAACAACCTCCTCAGGTTCAGAGGCCCTGACAACTTCAACAACAACTGTAGGACTTTCATCTCCAGCCCCATTAATCTCCACTGGGACTAGATCTGACTCAGGGGCCACTCTTCGAACCTAGGGTACCACCTCAAGCTCAGGTGTCCCCTCTCTATCAAAAGCAATGACGATGGGCTCAGAAGGGCCGGAGTCGTCTACCTCAATCTCTGAAGAGGTAGAAAACAACTCAGGAGTGGTACAAGATGAAAAAGACAAGATAGATGATGACTCAGAAGGAGTAGTGAGCGAACTTGAGGAGACAGAAGATGAAGAGCCATCTGCCGGTTCTAAAATGACCGAAAGATTCACTCTTTTGTGCTATGGAAGGGGCCTGACAGCACAAGACAATGCACGACTACCAGTGGGGCAACGCATTTCCTTTTCTTTCCTTCTGCTTGGGAAGGCCCAGTCATCTTAGAACTCCCCCATGAGAGGAACTTCCAGCAAGAGCGCTGTGCGGGCCTCTCCCAATCAACGCATTCAAACCTTGAGTTGGGTGCCCTTCATGATTAGGGACCTTTCGACCCTCCTTCCACTGAAAGATAGAGGTGAGATTGTCGAAAAGGCTCCTTGTCTTCTTTTCCATAGCAAGAAGCTGCGGTGAGGAGTTGTCCGCTGCTATCTCTAGGGGTATCCCAAGATCCTGCCAGTTTCAGGGGTAACCCAAGGTAAAGACCTCGCCAAGAGGGGGAGTCTTAATAATCTTCCTTTGCCTAGTATCTTGGCGCCAGTTGCAGTTATCCCCTTTCTAGGGGTGATCAGCTTCTCAATAACTTTAGCTGGTGATTCTCAACCAGCGTCCATAACCTTCGGTGGCTCGGACCCTTCTGCCAAAGTGTGGTATCACATATTTGCTGACCTCTGTCATCTCTAAACATGTGGACCATGTAGTGCGAATGTGCCTTGGCAATTCTTGAAGAGTCCTTAGCTCTTCTTTCCTTCCTGTGTTCACTCTGCCATGACGCTTCTCAAAGAATATAGAGAAGGGGCAGCCTTGATTCAGCCCATGTTGACGAGCAAAATGATGGGGGAAGTACCCTTCAAGCCTGGCACTATTGGAGGTTCGGTAGGGCAAAAATCCCCCTCTAATACTCAAGATGAACATGAGCTCCTCAATGGTAGTAGGAGCACCATCCAGCTCTTTCCCCATCTCATCAATAAAAGCCCGATCAGTATGGCCCCCGACCGGAAAGGGGACACAACGCATGTTGGAAGTTTCATTCTCAAACAAATTACGAGCATTCTCTGAGGTGTGAAAGATAGCCTTCTTCCTAGCAATCCTCAATAGGAAGGGGCACATCTTCTCCCCCACGCCTAGATTTCTAAAATAAGTGGCAAGGAAATAGGCTCCTAGCCACCCGTACACATAATGAATGGGGAATGGTGTCTTGAAGTCCCCATGGAAAGCTTCACCTCTAACAAGGCCATGGCCCCCCTCCTTGCCGTTATAGGCCTTCCCTCTCGAGATAGCTCCCAGTCCATGGTAGATGTTGCACATGACTAGTTGTATAAGGGCATAGTGGCGCCCCCTCGCCATGTCGCAAGCCACATAGAACGTGCATGGACGGATTGTATCGGCTCCCCCAGGGAGAACAAACTTGCACAGGAACAATATTAGGTATGCGGCCAAGAAGACACAGTCATCACTGGTCTCGGGTTGGTAAATTGGAGGCGTCCCCTTCATAGTTGCCTTCCCCTTTCCCCCTGAAATACCTGGACCCACCTCAGGGTAATCTCTGCAAAAGAATTTCAGCCACTCGGCAAAGATCACTCGACCATTGGTGGCCTTGAATTAAAGTAACAGGTAAATCTCGAAGATCTCTTGAAGACTAGCAAGCGATTCTTCTTCACTAAGGCGTGCACCACCAAAAATCACCGAGTTCTGAGGCACAAACTCATCATTCATCGCGCCTATGAGTGGGAGCCTGCCAATGAAATCAAGATCTAGATAGGAGATCCCTACTTCACCATGACCGAGGAGCCATGTATTACTTACATGACTCCATGTCTCCAATAATACCTTGACGGTATTTGAGCATCGGTCGTAGTAGCTGCCTGAACATTGTACAATAGCTAATAAAGAGGCACACTCGAGAACACTGCTGTACAACCCTAGCACTTTAATGCTCCATGAGGAGTACCCCTTCAAATACTGATGCTCCCTTTGCACTCGGAGACCAATAGAAGACCATCTCAGCCCCTTCGTCTTCTCCATTCTCTTCCCCAAAGTTGGCAACTTCTCGCCAGAGGCCACGTTCCTATGCATGCAATGAAGGATGACTACCCCTTCTTCAATACTCACATTTCCATTGTTGTCTTCTCGGACCTCAAAATGAACCAGGTCAGTAATAAAAGTGACACTAAGGGGCCACTCCGGTTTGCATATTGGTTCTGCCAACCAAATAGATTCACCCCTTACTAGACTCTCATCAGTAAATTCATTGGTGCCAAGCTCTCCTCTCCTTGGAAGGTTTTTCATGTCAGGGATTCTGTATGGAGACCTGGCCATCAGACTAAACTTAAGGGCTCGCTGTCGTCTGTGAATCGTTAAGGCACAAGGCTATCACCGAACGTGAAAGGCGCAAGGCTATCACTGTGCGTGAAAGGCACTGACTAGCACCGCTTGAGTTCGTCAAAACCCAATGCTAGATGTGCCTTTCAAAGCCCAGAGCCAGCTGTGTTTCTCAAGGGCTAACGCTGGCTGTATTTCAAAGGCTAACGCCGGTTGTGTTCTCAAGGGCTAACTCCAACTGTGTTTGACAAAGGTCCAGCGCTGGCTGTGTTTCTCAAGGGGTAACACCGGCTGTGACTATTGCCAGTTGTGATCTTTGAGCAGTGCCGTTTGTGTTGAAATCTCTCATACATGCCACGGATTGCGTATGTGTCACCTCGAACCCCGGGTGTGCCACTTGACAACTGCCAACCGCGACGTGGTCTGACACACGCCTCGCATGCGTTGATGGCGAGCATCATTGCCCAGTGACCATTCGCTGCCTACGACTGTTCACTACCCTCCGACCACTCGGTTTCTCGTTGAGAAACTTCTCCACGCATCGGAAACCCATTGATGGACTTTTCTTCTTCCTCCACACCGCCGAAAAACCACCAAAATCCTATCGGTAGGACCCTGCTAAGCTCTCAGCCCCTTTCCCTCACTTTTCTGGTACCCCAAGACCACTGTCGGAATCCCAACAGACCCCGGCAATCCCCCTATCTTCTTCACCTTGGCAATGGTGAAACTCACCTAGTCAGTGCAACCCCTTTGCGACTGCTCTGTTGGAGTTTCTCACCGCTCCCATGACTTCCAGCAACTGCCTATGAGCCCTGCGTTTTCGCCGAAGTTCTCACCAAGAAGTCTCTCTCTCTCACTGTACAAACTCTCTAAACGTTTTACCTCAGGTAAAACAGTGAAATGGGGTTTTACCCCTTATATAGCTGCTGCTTCCCCGAAGTACCTCTCACAAGGCATAAATGATAGAGAAGTCCTCGAAGGCCAAACAACAGTAGGTCGGACCGGGTCGGGCTCACGCCTGAAGCCCGAATTGAAGTTTACTGCCGCCCATGTAATGCCGACCAACAAGTGCCGGATTGTGACGTCTTAGAACTTCCGGTGTGCTGTTGTGCATGAGAAAAGGAGGCGCACGGCAGGATAAGGCGAAGTGCGTGGCAAGGCGAAGTGCGCGGCAAGGCGAAATGAATGTGTCGCCGCGAGTGTTAGTGATGCAATGGATTTAGACTGCAGGGACTGGTTGTTTAAGATGGTCCTTGAGGGACTACCCCCTTTTTCCCCTTTTTCTTCCATTTTTCTTTTCCCTCTTCTTTTTCTCTTCCTCCTTGTGCCACTTTTTCCTTCCTTGTGCCACTTGCTGCTCTCCTTATGTCACTTGGAGGTGGCTTGCTGTCACCTCACCTCCCCCTTTTCCTTATTTCTTTTAAACCCACCCAGCTCTCTCTCCCTCTCTATCTCTCCCACCCTCACGCCATCCAATCCTTATTATCCCTCTCTCACTCTTTAAGAGAAATTTGGGGAAGCTTGGAAGAAGCTCCCTCTACCTCATTGTTGGAGCACTTGTGGAGGAGCTTGAAGTGGCTGTGGAAGGAAGGATTGGAAGGCGTTTTTGTTGTTAAAGTAAGTAGATCATTACCTTGCCATTTCATAGTATGAATTGAACATGAATCAAGCATGATTTTGATCCTAGAATAAGCATGAATAATGCATGTGGTGAGCATGAAAAGGGTGTGAACATTGATACTATATGCACACTGTTCTGTTATGATTTTTCAGCAACAATGGCTTGCCTTTACATGATGAATGAGTGATGAAACTCCTCAAATTATTGGGGTAACTTGTGAATTAAGGGGGAATATGTATCTATTATGTGTTAAAAAGGATTGCATGCTGATTTCTAATGAAAGTTGGAAGCTATGAACAAATCTTTAGAGCATGCTATGACTGTGACATGAAAATCCAGGGACTGTGCATGGTTTTATAAGACGTGATTGGCCTACCAAATGGTGTCTGAACTGCCTCAAATTGCCACCATTAGAAAGGTATCTGAGTCTATTTTAATCTTTATGTTTACGTCCAATTGAAATTCGTAATAATTTGAAAGTTATGCTTCATTTTATGCACCTATGTCACTGTTGACAGACTGTATAAATTTTCAGAAATATCACTCTAGTTGCACTGAGGTTTTGTTCGACCTAATGAAGTCAAAATGACTCTTAACCGCATCCATTTGAGAGATACACGAGTTTCATATTAGTTTATTGTTTTAACCTTATCCAAATTCTATATAATTTAAAAGTTGTGTTTCAAAATATGTGGATATGTCACTGTTGACAGATTGCAGAAAACTCAGAAATTTTGTTTCTGATTTCATAAGTTTTAAATGATCGAATGGAGTTCAATTTCATTAAAACCACTATCATTTGAAAGGTATATGTGTCTTTTTGAATTCACATGTTGATATAATTTTGAATTTTTTTTTAAATAGAGAGTAATACAGCAAAATAAGAATACGTCATTGATGACCAAACTTAACAATTTCCAGAACTATTGCTTCTGTTCCCTTAAGCTTTTTGACAGACCAAATGGGGTCAAATTTCTCTCAAATTACTATCACATGAAAGCTAATAATGTTAAATGGAAATTTTGTTTTGGAATTATATTGAAATTCCATATAAATCTGATGTTTATACCCTTGTTTATGAAACATACCCCAATATGACATTTATGAATCTCAAGATTCTTTTGTAACCCTGAATTGGTCATGCTCAATTAAGATTCACACTTTCTGTGATTGAGGGAGGCTCATACCCACTCTGAAAGAGCAATTAAAATGAAGTAAATTTCCCTCATAAGTTTGATGTTATGTCTGACATTGCACATGCATATTTCTGATAAGAATTACAATGAATTCTTAGTCGTTGTGTAGATCATACATTGCTATGCCCCGATATGTTGAACATGGCTTGATTCTTTTGCAAGATGATTGAAGTTATCTGCTATAAGATACTGAAATGAAATACTTATGATACCATGAATGTTCCTGACCTCTTGAAAAGAGTGAAATGCGAATGAGTGAATGTTTAAGCATGCTTGTACTAGGTGTGATACCTATATGATTATGATTATGATTCTGGCAACTATGCATTGGGTTCTCCATTGGTAGTGGGTACTGCATCTCTATTATCTGATTCTGCTTATGATTCTGATTCTGATTCTGGCCACAACGCAATGTGTTCGCCAGTGGTCGTGGATACTATTTTTCTGTTACCTAATTCGGATTTTGATCCTGACTTGGGTCCTCCATTGATAGTGGGTACTGTAATTCTGATAACTGCTTGCTACGCAATGGGTTTTCCATTGGTAGTAAGGTATATTGTGCCTTGACTCCTATTATAGGAGTGGAGTTGAGATATAATTGTAAATAACTGGGAGGGTCACGCTCCCCATTTTGTTATGGACACTACGCATTGGGTCCTCCAATGATAGTATAATGCCCTCACTTGAAGGCACAAGGAGAGGTGTCTTGCAAGGCCTTAGCCTATCGTAAGCCCCAAAGCGCGCTGGTGACTGTGTGCGTAAGTGAGGACATTACGAAGTGGGGCCCCCACTTTTCATAGTCCTCCCTTCTGAATGAGGGTAGAAGTCCCAAGTTACAAGACTGGCTTAGCTTGATTGATGTGACTTCTACTTCGGGAGTATGCCCTATTAATTTATGTCTATCTGAACGGTATGCTCTAGCCAAGCTTCTGACTGTGTGATAGTGATATATATCTGTATGACTATTTTGTTCATGAAACATGGAAAGCTCTGAGATCATAACTCTTTTTGCTCACTTTATATGTATATACCGCCGTATGATTGTATTATGTGATTCTGCATGAATTGTGATAGTTGTGGATTTGTTATCCTTTATGAGTGCATCTAGGTTGGAATGCAAGGGTATTGATTCGGTTACTGAACCTTTAACTCATATTCCTCTTTTTCCCCTCTGTATAGAGTGGGATCTAATATTCGACTGTGGACAACTGGACGGTGGTGGCAGGCATTTTGATGCTTAAAGTTGCAGTTGGTGACTCTTTTGACGGTAGGTGCCTGATGGATATGTGAAAATGTATTTTGCAGAATTCTTGAAGTTTTTTTGATCGAGCCTGTTGTGCCTTGAACTCGTTGTAACAAAAATTTTTGGAGTCGGAATATGTATATAAATGGTTTTATTTTACTCAGTTTTGGATATTAATTCTATGATTTTTTGCTTTATTTCGTGGTTTGCTTGATTCCAAAGTTAATTATGCGTTGAGCCACTCCCACCTGAGTAACATCCGCGACCTCTGTGTTCGCGATCTCGCACTCGGTCGCCCTTCGGTATGGGACGACGGCTGCCAAGGAGCGGAGTCGTGACACTTATGGTATCAGAGTAGCTAGGTTAGGATTCTTGGCTTAAAGAGTGGTAGAAGTGTCTCTAGAGTAGTTTATGTGTAGGTTGGTGACTGGGTGCTTCTGTTTAAGGTTGGAGATGCCGAGAACAAGAGCCAATGATGCAAGCTCCAGTGACGAAAATACTGATGCCCTCGGGGAGTTTGTCAGGACTTTAGGGGTTATGACGCAGATGATGAAGGAAGCTATGCAACCCCATCTACCCCTGCCCCTGACTCAAATGATAGCAGTTTAGAAATTTAGGAGGTTGGCTCCTCCAACCTTCTTAGGGCTTGGAGGAGTAGAAAAGGATGAAAGATGGAAAAAATCTTTGAAGTAATGCAATGTACAGAAGAACAGAAGGTCAGGATAGGGACCTTTATGTTAGAAGGGGACGCTGAGCACTGGTGGGGCTCAGTGACGTAGTCTTGGGCAGAAGCAGGAACGGAAGCAAACTGGGGAAACTTTCTTGGAGCCTCCCATGAGAAGTACTTTCCCGATTCAGTAAAGGAAAGAAAAGAATTAGAGTTCATCGAGCTGCAACAGAGAAATTTAACTGTGGAACAATATGAAGCTAAGTTTGTGGAGTTATCAAAGTACGCGCCCCAAATCATCAATACCGAGGCGCGGAAGACGAATAAGTTTGAGAGGGGCCTTAGGTCAGAGATAAGGGGGAGGGTAATATCCAAAAATTTGAAGGTTTCTCCCCTTTGGTAGAATTAGTTATGAAGATTGAAAGGGACTGTGAAGGATCTCGGGATGGGGGACACTGGAAGATGAGACCAGCTTAGTTTGGAGATTCGGGGAGAAAATCTCCCCCACAACTGAAGAGGAACCTTAGGGGAGGAGAAAATCAGAGGGGCAAGAAGATTCAAAAATCATGGCCAGACGATATAAGAGGGAGTCGACACCTGACGTGCCCACACTGTGGGAAGGATAATCATTTGGCGGTCGATTGCCAAAGGAAGACTGGGGCATGTTTTAGATGTGGAAAACAGGGCCACCAAATTAGAGATTGCCTAGTGAGGGGACCTGAGAACCGACCAAAGACTCAAGGTTGGGTATTCGCTCTTACTAAGTAGGAGGCTAAGGCATCAACTTCAGTTATCAGAGGCACGCTCTTCATCTATGGCTGGGAAGCTAAAATTCTGATTGACCTTGGATCCACGCATTCTTTTGTTGCACCTCACTTTGCATGCCACATTAATGTTAGACCTGCATGGCTTAACTGGACATTGGTAGTTGGTACACTTAGGGGGGAGTCTATAGAAACTGATACTGTTTATAAATACTATGAAGTTCTGCTTGAAGGATGTATTTTGCATATAGACCTAATATTGCTAAAAATTCAGGATTTTGATGTAATTTTGGGCATGGATTGGTTGTCCATATATTATGCCACAATAAATTGTTCTGATAAAACTGTGACCTTCAGACGCCCAAATTTTCCTGAGTTGAATTTTGTTGGTATTAAGGATGTTTCCCCTATACACTTTATCTCGGCTCTTCAGGGTTCCGCCTATTAGCTAAAATATGTGTTGGGTATCTGGCATATGTAGTAGAGAATTGGGATGTCTAGTCCAAGGTGGAAGAGATACCAGTGGTGAGGGAGTATCTGAAATTGTTTCCTGAAGAGTTGACTTCTCTGCCTCCAGCCAGAGAGATAGAGTTTGAAATAGATGTGGTTCTTGGTTCTTCTCCCATCTCTAAGGCCCCTTATAGGATGGCCCTAGTTGAATTGAAAGAATTAAAGGAGCAATTGCAAGAATTATTAAAAAAAGGGTTCATTCAACCTAGTGTGTCACCTTGGAGTGTATCGGTCTTGTTTGTGAAAAAGAAAGATGGATTTTTAAGACTTTGCATAGATTACAAACAGCTGAACCAGATCATTATAAAGAACAAGTACCCCTTGTATAGAATTGATGACTTTTTTGATCAACTACAAGGGGCTCAAGTATTTTCTAAAATTGACCTCCAATCCGGTTATCATCAACTACGGGTCAAGGAAGGGGATATCCCTATGACTGCATTCAGAACCCGGTATAGCCACTATGAGTTCTTGGTAATACCATTCGGATGAACCAACGCCTCGGTAGTCTTTATGGATTTGATGAATAGGGTATTTAGACCCTTTCTAGATGATTTTGTGGTGGTCTTTATATATTATATTTTGGTAGATTCAGGGAATCTGGAAGAGCATGGGCAGCACTTAAGAACAGTCCTCCAGATTCTGAAAACAGAAAAGTTGTATGCCAAGTCGGGGAAGAGCAAGTTTTGGCTTCCTAGCATGTCCTTCCTTGGGTACATTATTTCTGAAGTGGGGAAGACCGATAAATGTGACTGAGGTCCACAATTTTCTGGGACTGGTTGGATATTATAGGCGCTTTGTTGAAGGCTTTTCAAAGATAGTGCTCCCTTTGACCTGCCTAACTCGAAAAGAGGCGAATTTTGTATGGTCAGCTGATAGAAGAGTTTTTAGGAACTGAAGAGGAGACTGACCACGGCCTTGATGCTGACCTTTCCCAAAGAAAACGAAGATTTTGCGGTATATTTTGATGCCTCCCTAAAAGGGCTTGGATGTGTGTTGATGCAGCGAGGAAAGGTCATAGCTTATGCCTCCGAGCAGTTAAAGCGGTACGAGAAAAACTACCCTACTGATAACTTGGAACTCGCGGATGTAGTATTTGCTTTGAAAATCTGGAGACATTACCTCTACGGGGCCTAGTTAAAAATATTTACAGACCATAAAAGCCTCAAGTATCTATTTTCCGAGAAAGAGTTGAACATGAGGCAAGGACGATAGATGGACCTACTGAATGATTATGATTGTACCATCAATTTCCAATCGGGAAAGACTAATGTAGTAGTCGAAAGCCGGTGATATCAATAACACATTTGATGGTTCGAGAAATGAAACTGATAGAAGATGCAGTGGAGTGGCACTCAGATCTATCCCTTGAAAATGGGGTAGGAATGACTGCCGGTAAAAGGGTGGAGGCCCAACTCTTTCAACAGATTCGTAAGGCACAGAAAGAGGATCCCCAAGTCATGAAAATCCTCGAAGAAATAAAGCTGAGGAGAAAAGATAATTTCTCTATTAGTAGTGATGATTTGTTAAGGTCCAAGGATCGGGTATGTGTTCCAAATGATGATGGTATAAAATGGGCTATTTTAGACGAAGCACACCACTCCCATTATACTGTGCACCCAGGATGTACCAAGATTTATCAGTACTTGAAGAAAACTGTATGGTGGAATAATATGAAGAGAGAAGTGGCACAATTTTTCTCTAAGTGTTTGACATGTCAGCAAGTGAAAGATGAACATCAAAAATCTGTGGGACTGCTGCAACCCTTGCCGGTACCCTAATGGAAGTGGGAGCACATCACCATGGATTTTGTCTCTGGCTTACCTTGGACAGGTGCCGGGCATATAGTATTTGGGTCATTGTGGACCTTCTGACTAAAGCAGCCAATTTCTTACTGGTCCGCACGACTTATACCTTAGATAGACTTACCCATTTGTACATTAAAGAGATTATGAGGTTACATGGAACACTTATCAATATCGTATTCGATAGGGACACCATATTTGCTTCAAGACTTTAGAACAATTTGCAGTCAGCCTTAGGGACGAGACTTACTTTTAGCACTGCTTTTCACCCTCAGACTGATGGACAATCAGAAAGAACTATTCAAACTCTGAAATACATGTTGAGAGCTTGTATTACTAACTTCAAAGGAAAATGGAAGGACCATCTTCCTCTGATCAAATTTTCTTATAATAACAGCTTCCAATCCAATATTCAGATGGCACCTTTGAAGCTTTGTATGGGAAGAAATGTAGATCTCCTATCTGTTGGGACGAGGTAGGTGAGAGAAGGCTGTTAGGGCCAGAAATTCTCCAAGTTACCTCAGAAAAGATTGCCTTGATTCGGGAAAGACTTAAGACCACTCAGAGTCGGCAAAAGATTTATGCTGACAATCGAAGAAGATACCTTGAGTTTGAAGTAAATGATCGAGTTTTCTTGAAGGTATCACCGACTAAGGGTGTTTTGAGATTTGGCAAGAAGAGAAAGTTGAGCCCACGGTTTATTGGGCCTTTTGAAATTTTGAAGAGGGTTGGAAGTATGGCTTATTGGCTTGCCTTGCCACCCGAGTTGGCACATATGCATGATGTGTTTCATGTATCTCTCTTAAGAAGGTAGCAGTCGGACCCATCCCATGTCCTCAAATATTAGCCAATTCCGATAAGGGAAGACTTAACGTATGTTGAGCTGCCAATTGAGATTCTGGATAGGAGAGTGCAGATACTACACAATAAATAAATACCCTGGTGCGTGTTCTATGGCAGTATCACTCACAGGAAGAATCAACATGGGAACGAGAAGATGAAATCAGGAATAAGTACCCCCAGTTATTTGACTAATTGAGACCCGATTTTGAGGACAAAATCTTGCTTAAGGGGGGATGATGTGACATCCCAGAACTTCCGGTGTGGTGCTGTACATGTTCCGGTGTGGTGCTGTACATGTTAGAAGGAGGCGCACGGCGGGATAAGGCGCACGGCGGGATAAGGCGAAGTGCGTGGCAAGGCGAAATAAATGTGCCATCGCGAGTGTTAGTGATGCAATAGATTTAGACCGTCGAGACTAGTTGTTTAGGATGGTCTTTGAGGGACCATCCCCTTTTCCCTCTTTTTTTTTCCCTGTTCTTTTCCCTCTTCGTTTTCTCTTCCGCCTTGTGATACTTGTGCCCTCCTTGTGCCACTTGCTGCTCTCCCTATGACACTTGGAGGTGGCTTGCTGCCACCTCACCTCCCCTTCTCCTTATTTCTTTTAAACCCACCCAGTTCTCTCTCCCTCTCTTTCCCTCTCACCCTCATGCCCTCCACTCCTCATCTCTCTCTCTCTCAGAAATTTTGGGAAGCTTGGAAGAAGCTCCCTTTACCTCATTGTTGGAGCCCTTGTGGAGGAGCTTGAAGTGGCTGTGGAAGGAAGGATTGGAGGGCACTTTTGTTGTTAAAGTAAGTGGATCATTACCTTGCCATTTCATAGTATGAATTGAACATGAATCAAGCATGATATTTATCCTTAAATAAGCATGACTAATGCATTTGGTGAGCATGAATAGGGTGTGAACAATGACACTATAGGCACACTGTTCTGTTATGATTTTTCAGCAACAAGGGCTTGCCTTTGCATGATGAATGAGTGATAAAACTTCTCAAATTATTGGGGGAAACTTGTGAATTAAGGGGGAATATGTATCTATTATGTGTTAAAGAGGATTGCATGCTGATTTCAAAATGAAAGTTGGAATCTATGAACAAATCTTTAGGGTATGCTATGACTGTGACATGAAAATCCAGGGACTGTGCATGATTTTGTAACACGTGATTGGCCTATCAAATGGTGTCTGAATTTCCTAAAATTACCAGCATTAGAAAGGTCTCTGAGTCTATTGTAATCTTCATGCTTGAGTCCAATTGAAATTCTGAATAATTTGAATGTTGTACTTAATTTTATGCACCTATATCAATGTTGACAGATTGTGTACATTTTCAGAAAAATCACTCTAGATGCACTGAGGTTTTTTTTGACCAAATGAACTCCAAATAACTCATAAAGTCATCCATTTGAAATATACACGAGTTTAATATGCGTTTCATGTTTTAACCTTATCCAAATTCTGTATAATTTGAACGTTGTGTTTCAAAGTATGTGGATATGTCACTATTGACAGATTGCAGAAAACTCAATATGTTTGTTCTTGTTTTCATAAGTTTTAAATAATCGAATGGAGTTCAATTTTCTTCAAACCACTGTTATTTGAAAGTCTTATGTGTCCTTTTGAATTCACATGCTAAAATAATTTTGAAATTATTTCTAAATCAAGAGTTATACATCAAATTATGCGAATATGTCACTGATGACCAAACCCATCAATTTCTAGAACTATTGCTTCAGTTACCTTAAGCTTTTGACGGACCAAATGAGGTCCAAATGCTCTCAAATTACTATCACATGAAAGACAAGAATATTCACTTAAAAATTTTGGTTTGGAATTATATTGAAATTCCGTATAAAATTGATGTTGTGTCCATGTTTATGAAACATACCCCAATATGGCATTTCAGAATCTCAAGATTCTATATTAACCATGAATTGGTCATGCTCAATTAAGCTTCATACTTTCTGTGATTGAGGGAGGCTCATACCCACTCTAAAAGAGCAATTGAAATAAAGTAAATTTCCCTCATAAGTTGGAGGTTATGTCTCACCTTGCACATGCATATTTCAGATAAGAATTACAATGAATTCTTAGTCGTTGCGTAGATCATACATCTGTTATGCACCGATATGTTGAACATGGCTTGATTCTTTTGCAAGATGATTGAAGTTATCTTTTATAAGATACTGAAATGGAATACTTATGATACCATGAATGTTCCTGACCTCTTGAAAAGAGTGAAATGTGAATGAGTGAATGTTTAAGCATGCTTGTACTAGGTGTGATACCTATATGATTATGACTCTGATTCTGGCCACTACGCAATGGGTCCTCCATTGGTAGAGGATATTGTATCTCTGTTATCTAATTCTGCTTATGATTCTGAGATTCTGGCCACTATGCAATGGGTTCTCCATTGGTAGTGGACACTGTAATTCTGTTATCTGATTCCGATTCTGATCCTGACCACTATGCAATGGGTCCTCCATTGGTAGTGGGTACTGTAATTCTGATAAATTGCTGCTACGCAGTGGGTCCTCATTTGTAGTGGACTGTGCCTTGACTCCTATGATAGGAGTGGAGTCGAGATGTAACTGTAAATAACTGGGAGGGTCGCGGCCCCCAATCTGTTATGAGAACTACACATTGGGTCCTCCAATGGTAGTGTAATACCCTCTCTTCTGAAGGCATAAGGAGAAGGTTGTGGCTTGCAAGGCCTCAGCCTATTGTAAACCCCAAAGCGCACTAGGGAATGTGTGTGTGAGTGAGGACATTAAGAAGTGGGGCCCCTATTTGTCATTGTCCTCCCTCCTTAATGAGGGTAGAAGTCCCAAGCTACAAGACTGGCTTAGCCTGATCGATGTGATTTCTACTTCGGGAGTCTACTTCGGGAGTAGGCCTTATTAATTTTTGTCAGTCCGAACTGTATGCTAGCCAAGCTTCTGACAGTGTGATGGTGATATATGTCTGTATGACTGTTTAGTTCATGAAACATGGAAAGCCCTAAGATCGGAACTCTTTCTGCTCACTGTGTCTGTATATACTGACGTATGATTGTATTATGTGATCCTACATGAATTGTGATAGTTGTGGGTTTGTTATCCTTTATGAGTGCATCTAGGTTGTAATGCAACGATACTGATTCGCTTACTGAGCCTTTAGCTCATACTCCTCTTTTTCCCTTCCATGTAGAGTGAGATCTGATACCCGAGTGTGGACAGCTGGACAGTGGTTGCAGGCAATTTGAAGCTTAAACTTTCAGTTGGTGACCCTTTTGACGGTAGGTGCCTAGTGGATATGTGAAAATGTATTTTGAAGAATTCTGGAAATTTTGTGATCAGGCCTATTTTGCCTTGAACTCGTCATAACATAAATTTTTGGAGTCTGAATATGTATATAAATGGATTTATTTTACTTAGTTTTGGATATTAATTGTATGATTTTTGACTTTATTTTGTGGTTTACTTTGATTCCAAAGTTAATTATGCGTTGAGCCACTCCCACCTGAGTCACATCCGCGACCTCTGTGTTCGCGATCCCGCATTCTGTCGCCCTCTGGTATGGGACGACGGGGGCCAGGGAGCGGGGTCGTGACAAGAATGGAACAGGATGAGGTCGGGCCCAAACCCGAGACCCGAACTCAGACTAATGCAGGCTGTGACTTTCACCGTCTGTGACCAACGCCGCCTGTGACCAGTGCCATGCGTGAAAGTGAATGACCAACGCCACCTGTGACTAACACCGCGTGTATAAGTCATTGACTACTGCTGCGCATGACAAGCACCATTCATAACTGTTACTCAGGCTGATGCAGCTCGTGTTACTGTCGCCTATGTTAACGTCGTGCGTGTTTGAGCACAGTCATCACCGGAAGTGTTTTGCCTTCACCCCAAGGAGTCACACTCAGCTCTTAATCCCCAGTGAAGTCGGGTTCCATTTTCCATCCCTCGTTAGGCCACCATCTTCATCTGAGCCCTCTACTTATGTATGGACTTAAACTATTTTATCCCCAAGGAGTCGGATTGCCATCCACAAACTTATTCCCCATGGAGCTCCACCCACATGGCAACCCACAAAATGATCTAGATGCACGACGCTAAATTACATGGTCCAAACTATACGAACTTAAACTGTAGCGGAGGTCTAGTTGCACGACCTTAAACTATTTCGTCCATACTGCATGACCCTAAACTGCACCACCATGGTCAAGATGCACGACCCTAAAACGGCATGGTCCAAATTATACGACCTTAAACTATAGCGGAGGTCTAGTTGCACGACCTTAAACTGCATAATCCTAGCTGCATGACTTTAAACTGCATAGCCATGGTCCAAGCTATATGACGCTGAACTATAGTACAGGTCTTGACCGCATGACGTTAAACTGTTTTGCACAGGTCTAGGAGGCATGGCCTTAAACTCGCCCCCACATATACGTGCACACCCATTTTGTGCACACCATTTTTATAACTCCCCAATCCATCCATTTCCCTTACCACCATTCATCATTCCCCCAGTGAGTCTTACCCGTGCTCACAAACGGCAAGCCATCCCGCCATCCATACTTGTAGTCAGCTAGTGCGTCACCACTATCCACCTTACATACCAATACCATCCATCTTTCATAGGCAGCCTCGTGCCATCTCCCGAAAGTGAGTCGAACCACCACCATGCTCACTCCATGGCCTCCACAGACTGTCATCCATCTTCACCACGGTCCAGCTGTATGACCTTAAACTATAGTACACGTCCTGGCCGCATGATGTTAAAAGGTTTCGCATAGGTTCCAGAGGCATGACCTTAAACACGCCCTCACAAAAAAAACAGGCATGGTATAAACCTGAAAAGGGAATGCCATGAGTAAAAATGATGGACGGGCATGGTCACGAAACCATGAGTAAGAGAGTTATGTGAAAATAAAGACCCAAGCACGATGAAAACCTGAAAAAGGCACCGTGAGTGAAAATAGAAGGGTGGACATGGCTGTAAGGTCATGGGTAAAAAGAGCCCTGAATGAAAGGAGGTTGGTGAAAACCATCTTTATGGCAACACTTTCCAAGTCCAAGTGAAAACCCGCAACGGGTGCTTGGACTAAGAAAGCAAGTTGATGCAGTGCTCGCCTCCAGAAGACCCATCATCAACAAAAATATCATCCAGCAGGGTGAGCAAACTTAAAAAGCATCCCTCAACATTCGTCATCGGTGTTGGGTGAACATGTAGCCCAATCGCCATTCCTTCTTTGTTGTTGGGTGAACACGTAGCTCAGTCAGCATCCGGTGCTGAGTGAACACATAGCCCAGTCATCATCACAAACAACCCATGCAAGGGTGAGGACTTCGATAAGATCCCCCAAACAAACAAAAAAATCCACGCGGGGGTGAGGACTTTGATAGGATCCCCTAAACAAATAAAATAGTCCACGTGGGGGTGTGGACTTTGATAGGATCCCCCAAACAAACAAAACAGTCCATGAGAGGGTGAGGACTTTGATAGGATCCCTCAAAAAATTTCTCTCTCTTTTCTTCTCTTCTCTTCTCTATTTCTCTTGCTCTATTTCTCTCTCTCTTCTTCTCTATTTCTCTATCTCTTTCTCTATTGCTCTCTATTCTTCTATCTCTCTTCTTCTCTATTTCTCTATCTCTTTCTCTATTTCTCTCTCTATTCTTCTATCTCTCTTCTCTACTTCTCTATCTCTCTCTATTTCTCACTATTTTTCTATCTCTCTTCTTCTCTATTTCTCTCTCTTTCTTTATTTCTCTCTCTAATTTTCTATCTCTCTTATTCTTTATTTTTCGATCTATTTTTCTATTTCTCTTCCTCTTCCTCTATCTCTCTATTTCTTTTTCTCCATTACCCGTCTCTCTTTTTCTCTTCTTCTCTCTCCTGACATGCACGATAGTGACAACACCGTGCATGCGTCTCTTTCTCTCTCTTCATCTATCTCTATCTTTTCTTCTCCTCTGGATGAACACAAAGCCCAGTCGACATCCCTTCTTCGGTGCTGGGTGAACACGTAACCCAGTCATTATCACATGGCCGTCACTGGTAGCGTTTGACAGGGTGAGGACTTAAAATACTAATCCCTCCATATCACAAACAGTCTACTTGAGGGTGAGGACTTTGATAGGATCCCTCCAAATTATCTTCTCCCCCAAAGTCTCCATGGATGGACCTACGACAAATGCATTCAAACGTTTGAGCATCTTAGTTACAACATTGTGTGGGTATCTCCTCGGCGGTAACTTGGTCACGTGGCTAGGAAGAAAAAAGTAATAAAGCCGAAGGAAATTTTCTTAATATTGTCCTTATCACTTCTCTTGAAGCACAACATTCGGCGGGGCAAGCTGTTTGAAGATATTTTTTCTCACCTTGGGTCCCCAATCAGAATAAAAGAGAAGCTGGTCAATAAAGCCCTTACTTATAGTGGAATTTTTGACAGACTCAGAATTTCCCCAGAATGGGTGAGAATGTTCTTAAGGACTTCAAAAGGCCACCTGCCAAGTTTCATCGAATGACTGTAGGACCATCACCATTAGATTCAACACTGTCGAAAACCCCTAGGGATCAAGTTTTGGTCTAAACAGATATTCTAAGATAAAGTTATGAATAAAAGATTGGAAAAGGAGAGGCTGCACGCTATTCTCGTGCACCCTCCCTGTACCAATCTCCATTAAAGGAGATTGTTTTTCACAGTCACAAATAACAACTTTGAATACCCGTATCTCCCACGTTTTGAGTTTGATCGTGCTCAAATTTTGTGAGTGTGTTTGTCTCGTTGAGACAAGCGTTTGGATATGTGGCACTTCTCGCGATGATGTCCGAGCAAGGAGGAATACTAGAGAGAAGATGACAATTCGTGATCAAGGTTACAGGAAAATCAGTAGTAGCATGACCCACTCGAGCAGCATCACTGCTCTCGTGTACCCAATCGATGCGACACTAGTTGCATTGCGTGTATAAGGTCCAGCTCTATGTTTGGTCCAAACCCCGCGCATGATGAACGGTTAGATATGGCGTATAAATATGTTAAAGTTGCTGCAGAATTCTGGCTGTCGGCATCCAAGTTTTGGTCAAAAACCCAAAATTGTGAAATCTTTGTTTGGGCATGAAATCAAGCTGCGTCTGTTGCAACGCGATCGTGACGGCATGCTTAGTGCAGTCTAGCAAAGAAACCAAGAAAATACGTCAATAGACGAGCACACTATTGATACGAAGTTTCCAAGATTCATACAAATTTCAAGTCACGTGATCGTGGCCAAAAAACACGATCCGTGACTCAAAATTAATAACAGATTGATCGTCATACCAAGACCAACAAGAAAGCGATCATATTTTGGTAAAATAGGTGCCGAAAAAACCTCGAATCAACCTAGGAAAATCGAACACGTTCCATGGTTGCAACTGAGACTATTTTGGAATTTTGTGTTTTGATGGGCAAGGGCAAAATCATCATTTTGCCCCCATTTTTAGATCTTTCTTTAATTCAATTAAATTGTAATTATCCTCAATTAGATTTAATTTTGATCAATCCACCCATGTTTGGGCAAAAGTCTATATAAACCATGCGATACTTCATTGTATGAGGGCTTCAATTTTGATCAATAACGTTTAGAGTTAACTTTTGAGATTGAAAGCCATGTCCAGGAGAGAGAGAGAGAGAGGAGAGAGAAGAAAAGTCTGCTACTCCTCGATGAAGATAACTTTCTCTCTTCTTTCCTAATATATCTTCTTCTTTATTTCTCTCTCCTCTTCTCCCATTCTTTCTCTCTCCTCTTCTCTCTTTTTCTCTCTCCTCTTTTCCTTCTCTCTGTCTCTCTCTCATTTCTGTGTTGGTGTCATATCAGGATGAGCAGTGCCCATGTGGAGTGGAGATGGGGCGACCTCGTGGTTACCCACTGAAGTGGTGGTCTTAGAAGAATCGACCATAAGAGGAGAGGGAGTGGTCTTAGATCCACTCTTGAGCTTAATATTGGTGGAGAGTCCACCAGTAACAGTGTGGGCATGCCATTGATGCAGTTGACAACGATGGACTTGCCATTGATGCTAGTAGGGAGGGAGCACGGGGTTTGAGGTCCCTTTCCCAAGTTTTCCTAGGCTTGAGCTTATGTTCTAAGGTCAGAGAGAAGTCGCAAAAGATAAATGGGAGTAGTAGGTTGAACAACCTTTCTTCCCATAGGTGAGTTCACGAATATGGGGATGAAAAAATCCCCAACTCGGATGAAGGAGGAGTAAGTGGACTCCATAGCAATTTTTAGGTGGGAGTGATGTGAAATGCTGGTTAGAGATCGAGTCGAACCAACTATAGGGAACCCATCCCCAATAGAGTTGCCAATTGGTTGGGCCAAGATTTACCTCACTCAAGCTCCCTCAGGAAACCAGGCATGATAAACCCCTCTTGGACAACTGCTTGACCTGCGT